AAGGACAGGAAGGCCTGGCGCAATATGGTTCATGGGGTCACGAAGAGTCGGACACGACTTAACGACTAAACAACAACAACAACATCCCAAACAGGCCCAGATCATAGACTGGTAAGGGAACGGTGGTACAGTATGCACCTTTTTATTTTAACTCATGTTTCTAATCATTAACATTCTTCATTACCAATATATTTATCAAATATACTGATCTGATAAATGTTGGCAAGGCTTTCACACAACTCATATTTTTTCCATTTGCTCACAGACAATTTGGTATCTCTCTCCTTTCTCCCATGTTTCAATGATCATAACTAGTGTTTCTTTACACTGAATCTCTTATATCCTTTTTTGTCTATTTAGGATTTTTAGAAAGCATTTGATTTTTCCACATGCTCTTTGTAATTTACAGTATATTCCTAATGCATATTTACTCAGAAATCCTATTGTGTTCACTATATCTTACTCACTAATAACCATATTTAGAAAAGGAACCTCAATGTTCTGGGCAAATTCTCAGCTCCCAACTTCTGTGGCCTTATTTGCCAGCTGGTTTTCTGAACGGTCACTTCCCAGGGCAGAGTTTTCTGTCAAATTTGATTTTTCAGAGAGATAAAAGTAATGCAGGAAGTGATTAGGGCACTCTTACTATCTTGCATGTACTGGGGGGAGGACCCTGACTTTCTGGTCCTAGTATCAAGAACTGAACTAGGATGGACTATATCGTATATCAAGTCAAATTAGCCCAGTATCAGCTTCTTTGAATGACACTTTCCCCAGCATCCCCTACAATAATTTTTAATACTATCTGCCATCTCAGCCTTGCAAAGCGTATACTGTATTACTGAGCAATAGTGCCTTGCTTACAAATAAGTTACTTGGGTTTAATGTGGTTAATCCTATAATGAACTAAAGTGCAGTAAATTGCACATCTAATACCTTCTTTCCTGGCCCTGGCCTAACAATAGTTCATTAGAAAAGAAAAGGAAAGAGGAAAAACTTCTTCTGTATGTGCCTAAGATCATCCCTTAGGCATAACTACTGGCAATGATGCTTGTGTCAGATTCATGGTTCATGTTGGGCCTTCAGATATGATGCCCTTTGCTTCTCTAAGCAAAGCATACATAACCTGAATATGACAAGAAGAATATGACAGTGCCTTAATCTAAAGAATAAATACAAATCCTATCCAAATAGTTGTTCCAAACATAAGGACCTTTTTTTCCCCTCTAGGTATAAAATAGGTATAAAACATATTTAATAAAATACGATGGTGATTTTTCGGAAACGTATTGCTAGATCAGAATACTTGCCAAGCAGGTGCTTCTAGGGAGCTCCTGAACTGGCTAATGCCTTCCAGATATTTTGAAATTCAATTCTCAGAATTCTTGACCATTGACCATCTTGGGCCTTATGGGAATATAACCTGAAACTTCAAGAGAATATTGTGTTCCCTGTGTTAAATAGCACAAGTATGGCACAACAGTCTAATATAAAACTACCATCACTGAATATGGAGATTCCATATAGACTTTGTTAGTTCTATTTATTAAATCATCAGTTTCATATTTTAGGAATATCCAGATGGATATTCTCTGGTCCCAATGTTTTTCAGTTAAATAATGTAATGTGCAAGTTTCACATTCCAAAGCCAAGATGCCAACCTAAAAAAGCTCCTATCTGCAATAACCATTTGCCTAACCCCTGAAGGTACCAAATTTCTGAACACAGAGAAAGCCCTTAGTAGATATTTCAGACCATTCTGGCCTTTAAAGGAAAGACTTTGAATTAGGCTTAGAAACATACTCTAAATGTAGTAAATGTATACTGAAGCAGATGACCTTTAAAATTAATTTCTAAGGCAAATCATGTGTTTATTACATAATCAAACCTGGATGTAACCGAAGAATCAGTAATAGGCTAACATACCATTCTACAGAAGGGGCATATTAACATACTTTGTGCTATAGAAATTTGCATTGTAAGGAAACTAACACAGGTTTAGTGACTGCCTCACACAGCGACTGTTTACAGTTACGATGGTAATGAAAAAGTAACTTTGTGACCAATCTTTGTGTTTATGACCCTTGCAGGGCTGCAAAGCAAAGGAAAGCTGAAGTTAGACTGTAAGCACAGTCAGTTTCACTTAGCAACTGCTTTGCTTAACAACCAAGTTGCTGGTCCCAATTATGATCGATAAATGAGGACTACCTGTAGAATCCAAAATTACAAAGCTGATTATTGTGAGTGTAATGTCCATTATCAGCTTTGATTCAAGAAATCTATTGTAATGCTAGGACTTGGTTAAAAAATAGTAGGGTGTCATCTGTGTATTGATGTCACCTCATTCTAAATTAATGAAAGAATTCACCCAATGGTTCCAT